TCTATCTATCTATCTATCTATCTATCTATCTATCTATCTATCTATCTATCTATCTATCTATCTATCTATCTATCTATCCCATACACCCCTCTATCTAATCTATCTATCTATCTATCTCCAAAAAGCCACCGGATGGCAACAGCTTTCGGTCCAGAACTCTGTTGGATCTCGTGCACTCAATATGCCCATGCAATGTTCCCAGACACGAATGGGGATTCCGCCTAATCCAGCACATGCAACCAACAGAACTGAACTCCAGGGCGTCCTGACCCTGCCGTGGCCATGTGCACAGAGCATTCAGAGAATTCATCTGGTGTTTTTTTGTATAAATAAGCGGCAAGATTGGGCCCCTGAGGGTGGAGGGACCTGAACATAGCAGGACGGCACAAGATTTGCCCCAGGGTGCCAGTTCAATAGAGCTGTATCCTCTCTGGGCCACAGTGGAGGGCTCTCTGCATGCCAGCCTGCAGGGGGATTTGAGGGTGTAATAGGGCAGGGACTGTGGATCCACAGTTATACAGATTCATCACCCAACCTACACACCCCTCCTCCACCGCTCACGCACGCACGTACACACATAACCCGCTCCTCCTCCCACACACACGCCACCACTACTACCAGGACAGCCGTGAGGTTGTAGTAACAGCCTGCGGGTGAAATTTTTGTGCAGAAGCCTAATCCTAGGTCCCTGCACCACTGAAGTCCTCAAAATAGGGCGGGAATACGACTTCTCTGGTGCCTAGACCGTATGCTGCTCTCTGCACGGGGTGAATTTCACCCTCAGATGTCATTCCTCAGCAGGGCTGTGTATGTTCTATCTCCTCTCTGACTGCCATGAACCACCCCCTGGCCCAGCAAGCCCCAATCCCAAGCCTTCAATAGCACTCTGGGGGTCTCTCTGCTCAGACAAAGCCAGTTAGGATTTTCAGCACATGTGCAGACCCGGGGTAGCCTTAATAATAGGCCTGGTACCATCTACTGGATAAATAGCACATGTGTAAAAATAGCCCCACAGAAATACGTTACCCAGTCAATAGCCTGGATGGCGCTCGCCTTTACCTTCCACCAAAGGGATGGGGGTCTTTATCTGTACATTATATGGGCATTCACCCACGAAAGCTTATGCTCCAATACATCTGTTACTCTTAAAGGTGCCACAGGACTCTCTGTTGCTTTTTACAGATCCAGACTAACACGGCTACCTCTCTGATACTTTATGTGTACAGTGTATTCACAATTATCCAAATAGCCTGGGGGGGTGGGGTGGGGGGAGGATCCCATGGATTTTATTGAGATAATAGAGAGTTCAGACAATCAAGAGAGTAGGAGCCATACAGCAGCGGGGTGGCTGGTGAGAGTGAGGTGCAGTGGGCATCTTGCCAAGAAGGATTCATGCTGCCCATATCTGCCTGATCCCTGGCATAGGCAATTTGCTTTCCTCCTCTCAGGTGAGGGAGGTGGGTTGTCCAGGTGCACATATTGGGAAGGAAGGGGAGGAGTGGGAGGGTGGTGGGTTATGGTGGCTTCCAGAGGGAGACCTGCAGGATGGCTGAAAAGCTTGGCATGGAGATGGGGGGGTCATCTCTTGTGATGAGACAGAAACATCTAATGTTGGGGCATTTAGTTGCAGGGTGGGGGGTGGCAATGGGGAGCAGGTCTGAGAAGCTAGAATTGGGGTCATGCCCCTTTGAGGTCTCGCCACGGAGGCTTAGGCAGTTGAGAGAAGGTTGGGTAGAGAGAGGCGTGTGTGTTGCAAGTGAGGGTTACCTCTGAGTTCTCCCCACGCTGGCTGGGCTGGCTCCACCACCCTGATGTTGGTGAAATGCGCTGTTGATGGAGCCCCGACTGTCTGCACCATGCTGGGAACACCCTGTTTCTTATTTAGATAACGCCATGCAGCGGAGCCCAGGCAACAAGAGATGGGGCAAGTAACAAAGGCAGAAGGGAAGCTGGTGGAAGAAAGCTCAGCCCTGATTACCGGCTCTTGGTGAGTTCCTCGTCACGCGCAGGCTTGACAGACAGTTTAATAAACAGCTCAGAATGTCCAAGCAGAGTGTCCAGGAATAATTAACTCAAAGAGAGCAACACACAACATTTCTTCATCAGTGTAGCCTGTGGTCTGAGCCACCAAAGGCAAATAATGTGGAGACCTCCTTGACTCAGAAATAGACTCCCATTTTCATGTTACCCTTGTTTTGAAATTTGGAATTCACATGATGAAATCCAGAAGGCGCATTTTTGCTTCCCCTGCCTTTTAAATCCCAATCTTTTGCTCTGAAGGAGCCAAACTGACCTACCTTGAATTAGCTATGCATCTGCTCAGATACCTAGCGCCTACAGCTGGCAGCATTGCCAGACTCAGGGAGCCTTTTTGTAGCTCAGGGGGATATCTGCAAGGATTGAATTAACTATGGTGGTGCAGGGAGCTGCCTGTATTAACGTCTTTCTCTGAGATAGGCTTTGAATGACATCTGGGATCTGCTTGACAATCTTTTATTCTAAATGCAGTTGTTGTCTTTCTTCAGAGCAGCAGGAACCAGTGAGGTGCCATCCTTCAAATGATGGATCGTATTGCTTGGAGGGGTGGAAACCCCCCAGAAACACTGAAAGGTACAGTATGGAAAGGGGACAAAAACCAGTCAAGTTTCTTAGAGATACACCCCTACTTTTCTCCCCCATCCTGTGGTGCAATACAAGTAACCTGTGTTTGAAAAATAGCTGGCTAGGGAACCAGATCTTTCTTTCTTTCTTTGGATTTTTGTTATTTTGCCATTTCTCGTTAAGAGATTTTTAAAGTTAGGGGACTGAGACTGCATTGTCCTCTAGCGGTTGGATGGCTGGAAAGCTGGTAGGAGTAATTCTGCTGCTGCTAATTCATCCCCCCCCCTTGCATCTTCTAGCTCAGGGGTCAGCAACCTGTCAGAAGTGGTGTGCTGAGTCTTCATTTATTCACTCTAATTTAAGGTTTCGCGTGCCAGTCAAACATTGTAATGCTTTTAGAAGGACTCTTTCTATACGTCTATAATATAGAACTAAACTATTGTTGTATGTAAAGTAAATAAGGTTTTTAAAAGATTTAAGAAGCTTCCTTTATAATTAAATTAAAATGCAGAGCCCCCCGGACCGGTGGCCAGGACCCAGGCAGTGTGAGTGCCACTGAAAATCAGCTCGCGTGCCGCCTTTGGGACGCGTGCCATAGGTTGCCTACTCCTGGTCTGGCTACTATTCTCCCCCTACTGCCTTACCATTTTATTTTCAGTTGCTCTGTTGCTAAATCTTGGGATCATACCATTAAGCTGCTCACAGAATTGGCCAAGCCAACTATTTATAATCTGTTTATTTTAGGCATCAAGGGTTTGTGAATGCAGGGGTAGCTAACAAGGGAGGATCTCATTGGTATATAGAGATATGTTTAGGTTCCCCCTATATACCTAGGTGGCAAGATGGGTCTCATGCATGGCATGGTACCTCTGTATCCACTATGAAATAGTCCAGGCTCTTCAGACTAGCTTGTCAAGCTATTATTATATGTCTTAATATCATGAAGATGCCTATCATTCAAATATCAGGGGGTAGCCGTGTTAGTCTGTATCTACAAAAACAACAAGGAGTCTGGTGGCACCTTAAAGACTAACAGATTTATTATAAATAAATCTGTTAGTCTTTAAGGTGC